ACATTACTCTGCCCCAGGCAGGAGGCTGGCTCCCTGGTACTGTAACTGACCAGGAGGAAATCTGCTCCTGGTCAGCATCTAAACATGTACTAGTGTGCAGTAACTAATGCAGAGTTAATCTACAACCTGCATTTACACACAGAAAACCCCACATTAGCCTAATTTATTGTGCAGCAGCTGCTGCTCACAGTTGCATGGGGATGTCCCACTGCACAATACTTTACTGTGCAGTAGACTAAACTATCTTGTGTAGACATGCCTACTATCTACCACATTACCAAGTCTGTTATTGATTCCTGGAATCCAAACTTCCTCAGTGTTGATCCTGGCCAGGAAAGCATATATAGATTGGGAGTTTTAAATGATTCACTACAGATGGGACTACAATTTCTTGGAGTTTGTCCTAGCAGAATTTCTGATAGGGTGAACTGTTGTTTACTTTCATGTCTCTGTGTGTTTTTTCCAGGAAGTTCTGAGTCATTAAGGATCATTACGTAGATAAAAAAATTTCTTAATCTTTTTATAGAGAGTGTGGCTTACACATAGTGATCTAAATAGAGATCAGGTTTAAACAGAGATCAGTCAATTAAACTTTTTGTTAGAGTGAGGACTATTGAAATTGACACTATGATAATTGTTGTTTGAATAAATGGAAGCATTTAAATGGACTTCTGTCTTTCCAGCATCTTTATCTTTGTATCAGAACATCACTAGAAACTTAGCAGTGACTGTAGTACAGTAGTAGAACTGACAGCAGTAAATCCAATTAATGGAAATATTCCCTGCATAAAGGGGCATCCATTATAGTTGTACATATTGAACTGCCTAGATTTATTTCTTTTTATAATTATGATATTCAATAATTTGAAATTATAAGTATAAAAAACATCATTGTGATGCCGAAGAATGCTATCCTGTTCTATAACAATGCTATCCTTGCTGCAGAATGTAAATCAGCTTAAAAAGATACTAGGACCAGACCACCTCCACCACTTCTCCCTGCAGCCTGGCTGTGGCATGGTGTAAGAAAAGCTTCCCCTCTCTGCTGAAGCTGTGGGTGCCTGGCTGCAGCCCAGCATGGGCAGAACCCTCTGACCACAAGATGCTACCAAAGCCACAGCTCCACAAGCTGGATACAAAGTCTCTGCAAGCTGGATCCAGAGGTGACCAACCCCAGGCTGAAGTAGTTTTCATATACATGTAATTGATGCTTAGTAAAGAACATGGGAACAGGTCAAACTGCACAATTAAAGGTTACAATTAAAACAGGGAAAATTACAATTGCTGTTTTCAACTACGAAAGTTTGTTAACAAACATAATGTTATAAAAGAATATCAGCTCCATAACTAAATGTCTATGTAGAAGAAATAATGGAAAAGTTTGGAAAATTATTTTTAAAGGATTATTACAGTTCTACTGTAAAGACCATGTAACTCTAAGCCCACGTAAATATAAGCTTCAGCTGTGCTTTTTAGCCAAGCTATACATGGCCCAAGAAGACAGTGGGCAAATAAGGAGACAACTGTTTCCAGTTACCTCAGGCTTTCAACCTGTCTGCCAGAATAAACTAGTGGAGGGTCCTCTAGATCCAGCTGGCTGCCACTTGCCCTTATAACTATCCCAGCACCAAAGATGACAACCACTTTCTAACTATTTTCTTTCCCCAGTTGCATACCTCACCCCCTGGATTCACATGACCAGTTACATAATTGTCCATGGTATAAGACTATCTCTTCTAGTGAGATGAAAAGATATAAGAACTGATATGGGTTCTCTATTGGGAAAGATAGACAGGGAGTTAACCAAGAGAAACATTCTCTCTCTTACAAAGTGGTCTGCAAACAAGAAAATTTGAGGACCACAGGCCTATGAATTGGAATCATCAATAATATATTTATATGAGGAGAAACTTTAGGAGAAGCTGATTAATAATTTAAAGATACTATTCTTCATCCATCACTTAGGTTTCTTCAGCAGAAGCTACAAAATTAAAATACACATGTAGGAAAGGCAAGCTGGAGACTCTCCAAAAATAGGCTATGCAAATGGATCCTCCTGAACTGTTTTTGAACTCTAAACAAAATACAGCGCAGTTATCCAACCTCAACACTATTTGAATTTGAAAAGATCTATTATCCGAATTTCCCTTTCTCATTTGTTTTATTAGAAAATCAATATAAAGGAATAGAGCCAAGTCCTTCACGATTTTTGGCCACTGGTGTATTAATAAGCAAAATAACTTAGTTGTCATGAGTTAGTATGCAATTTTTAATTTTTGCAGAGCTATACAACCCCTAAACTCATTTTGCCCTCCACTCATCTGATCATCTTAGAAGCCAGTTCTATGTACCTTTTCTAGTTTCAATTTATTTTTGATAAACATGGGTGACCAGAAGTGTACACAGTATTGTAGATGAGGCCTCATGAATAGTTTGTAAAATTATATTAATATCTCCTGTTTTTACTGAAATTAACAGATCTGATGCCATCCTAGAATCTCATCTCGGTCACAGTCTCAACACATTGGCAGTTTAGTCACCCTGATATCAGTTAATACAGGGAAAACACACTTTTAAGCAGCACTTTAAGCCTGGGAGATTATAACAAATTTATAAATTTTCCTTATATATAATCTAATTATAAGGGGGGGTCGTCTTACAATCAGAGGGTGTGTCTACACAAGATGCTTTACTGCAGAACAAACTAATTTGCTGCACAGTAAAGCATCAACCATCTACACATGCATGGCAATTAGATCACAGCAGGCTAATTTACTGCACCGCAGGATAGTGCTGTCAGATACAAGTGGTATCCGGCAGCGAAGTAAGTTTCTGCACTCAAACGCACATGTAGACAGTGACATCAGAATTAGTTTACTCCAGCTCAAATTAACCTGGATTATATTCAGGCACATTAATTGCACATAGATGCACCCAGGGTCTTCTTATATTTGAATAAATATGGCAAGTCAAAAGTACAAAATTTGCAACACAGGCAAAAGGGAGAAAATCTTATACACAAGATATAATTGATTTGAATGACTGTCTCAAAATGGATATTAATCAGGAAGCTTACAGAGAATGGAAAAGTGGACTTATAAGAAAAGAATGCTATATGTCTGAGGCAAAGCAGATGGGAGTTGCCAGAAGTCAAACTGAATTATACCTTCTAAAGGAAATTAAAACTAGCAGTAAGAGGTTCTTTCGCAATCTAAGCAAAAAAACAGATAAAATTAATAAATTGTGCCACTCCATAGTTTCTAGACTAATTATGATGCCTGTAGAAGGAGTTTTAATGTCTGGCTTTGAACATTGCTGTTCTCTTGGTTTACCTTCCATTTTATATAAATGAACTGCCTCATTTGGTATTTTCATAATACTCACCTTCCTACAATAAAACCTTCTAGTGTTAACATAACATAATATTCCAGGAACTCCCAGTCCTCTTCTCCAAGCTTAGTCACTTCTTTCAGTTTACAGTGAGTTTCAGTATCCTTCTAGCTTTCATTCCAAGTTCAAAAGTGTTTCAGGTTCTCTGTGAGGACTTTCATTTCTTTATAGCCTTTCTTTCAAGCTGAAAGCATTTTGAAACCTTCCTAGCTGGGCTTCCTACCAACCTGCTCCTGATCTTTCAGCAGACTTCTACTAGGCTGCAAGTCCCAGTTAATTGAAAGATATGTCTTGTCTGTTTCTTTGGTGCTCCAAGAGTACCACCACCTCCTATCCGCACCCTTCTATTCTGTATGTGCCAAACCCAGAAATGAGACCAAAAGACCTTTCTGGAGACTACAGGTGCTGTTGAGTTTTCTGGCTCTGGTATGTTCATAGGCAATGGCAGGAGACCCTCAGGAAGGCTTCACTGCCTCATTTCCAGTTTTGACATATGCAGAGTGGGAATGGGTGGGTGGTGTGTGCCTTTTGGCAGTGCTCTCATGAGTCCCATGGAAGCAGTACAGCCCATCTTGAGAGCTTCATGCCTTCTTCTTAGGAAATCCAGAGATGTGTCATGTATCCTCTTCCCAGCAGGGTGCATTGAACCTTGAACTGAACTCAGGCCATCCTTATACTCCCAGTAAGCCTGGATTCTAATCCCATGGTTTCGTCACACAACCCTTGACAGAAGTCAGAATAAGACACAACTTTCTTAAAGGGCTAATGCACCGTGTGACAACATTAGGCAAAGCTGGAGATCAGACTCCAAAGAACAGTTTACGAAAGTAGAATATTTAGCATTTAACATACTGTAGTTAGTATTAAGGACTATATTTTGATAGGTAGACTACCACCCACCTTGTGGGGGAGGTAAAAAAAAGGGAAAAAGATATAGTGAAGTGCACTACAGCAGCAGGAGTCCCTGGAGACATTTTGACTGATTTAGTAAGAACACTTAAGTTAAAAAGAAAATTGAGTCACAGGTGAATCATCCACTTTTGTTATAGAAGATTGGGGTGGGGTGCGCAAAGGGCGAAAATATATATGAAAATTATGACTGCCATTTCATGAACAGTACATTATGATCCTCTACTTCATGCAGAGGCTCAACTCTGATGACTGGTATAGGGAAGGGAAGGATAAAGCGGCACCAACTCCAGGCCTGTACTGCTGACACAAACTTTAGCCTTTTGTAGAAAAACAAAGTAGGGATAAAATTCTTGGACCACTGCACTCATATCTATTTCTCTGCCAGGCAGATACAAACACCACCTACCCCTAATCTGAATCATGCTCTGTATCTCTGGCTTTAACAATTTGGTCATTTTAAGTGACAGCTAAGATGTGATCAGTAAAAACATGAGGAATGGGGAAAAAAGCAGCAAACACAGGGGACAGGGAAAAAACAGCTTTCTTATACCTGCTTGCCCTTGTACATGCAGTTATTCTGCCATCAAAGCAAAGAAGTTAACGGAAGGCCCAGTTGAAATTGCTGGTGTCAAACAATCAGCTTTAATATAGATAAGGAAAAGCAAACAAGGACAAAAGTACATGCTCAATCACCTTACCTGACACAAGTCAAGAGTGCAGAATTAGGGATTTTCAGCATCTAGAAGCAAAGGTTGCAGCATCACATGAAGACCAAATACAGAATGTGAATCTAACTTCAATCTCTTCTTTTTGTCCTATTTTCTGCATTGACATCCTTTGCTGGCTGCTTGTACATAAGGCAAAAAGACTATAACATCCTATTCACCCTTAAAACACTCCAGCAGTTTACTCAGAAACTGAAAAACTTATATAAACCAGTTTCAAGGTGATGTCTAAAAGCATGAAGCAAATACCACCCATCCTGTTCCTACAGGCCTGACCTCCAAGTGCTCAAGGTTAGTCTAGAGTCCTTCAGCCCAGACTTATTTATTTGTCATTTAATTTTATAAACAGTGTAGTCAGATATTTTTGTTGACAAGTTTTAGAAAAAGAGAAAAGAGGATATATTTTTGGCTATCCCCCCAATCTAGGGTTCAAAACTGCATTTATAAGAATATTAATCCTTTCGATGCTGGTTCATGCTGCAAAAGGAAAATATCCTCATATTCTTTGAAATAAAGATCTCAAAAAAGAGAGATTCTATAGAGGTAAGTGCTGCACAGAAACCTGTGTGCATCAGAAAATAGCTTGTCACTTATAAGCAGCTAGGTTTAATTTGCTGGACTGAGCAAGCACATTTATGGAGCAGTAAAGTCAGCTTTTTCAAGTGCACTGATAAGAAGCAGGAAATCTAGAGCCGAGACTGATATTTGAACTAAAGCTCACTTCTTGATATCTAAGGTTTTATGGTGATACTATGGCAAACTCAAGTAGAATGCAGTCATAAAAGCCTGAATCTTTATTAGTTAATTACATACTTTATTCTTTTTTAAATCGGGTGCTTACTGATGCTTTGAAAGGAGATGAGTACAAATAACACTCAGAATCTGGCTCAGCCTAAACCTTAGGAAGATGTTGTATTCCAGATTTGGATTTTACTATTAATCATCTGTCCCTATAATAGGTGCATTTAAACTCCGAACTTAAGTATCCTTAAAATATGGGAAAGTTCAAATCTGGATCAAGCTCATCTCTACTTTACTCACATTTTGTGCGGGTACATTTAAAATCTTTGTCTGACTCTTAAAGGAACAGTTCTTATGATAATTCTTTAGGGCATAAATTGATCTCTGACTAAGTTGGGGGAAAAAAATCCTTTATCTGACCTGTCACTTGAATACTCTTAACATCAGAATTTTCTTTTTGGATACTATGATCAATATCCAAAATGGTAAAATACAAAACACCTGTAACAGGAAACCCTAGCAGTGTTACTAAGAAACAGAGTGTTCGCTTTAAAACCAGAGTCTTCTGAATGCAGCCTGCCAACAAAGCAGGGGTTAAAGGGTAACCCTGCAGGCTGGTCAGCTGACTGGGGTGGTCACATGACTGTGTGGGAGTTCAAGCCAGGGCTATATAAGCCTTTGAGCTGAGCCAGCCAGGGAAGAGGATGGCCAATCCAGGTTGTGGCTGAGAGTGGATTCCTGATGACTCCAAGAAACTGTGAAGCAGCCCTACCAGTGAGAGCACCTGGCTGGGTGATCCAGGGATGTGGAGCCAGGGGTAAGCAGGCTAATTGTCTCTTTTTTTTTTTTTAAGTCAAAGAAAAGTCAGAGCTCCTCCTGCCCCCTTCACTTAGCAGGTTGCAGGTCTAGCTGCGGGTTGTTACCCCACCCTCCTCTGCTGCTTTGTGACACTGAGCAGATCTGATATGCT